CTTGTTTTAAGAAATTGGGTTGGTTGTTTTCTTATGGTTGAGTCATGGAAATGTTTTATATGTTCTGGATACTAGTCCTTTATCAGATATATGTTTTGCAAGCATATGTTCCCAGTCTGTTGCTTGTTTGTTCATTTCTTAACCATATCTTTCAAAGAAGAGAAGTCTTTAATTTTGATGAAGTTATTTGTCCTTTTTTTCTTTTCTTTTTTTTTTTTGAGAATGCTGTAAAACTTCCTTGAGAGAATTTTAACAAATATCCCACTTAACAGTTTGCATTCAGTTCATCTTCCTTTAATCCTGTGGTTGTCCTTCCCCTGCTTCTAACGTGTAAATGGTTTCTAGTTTTAGTAACAACCTCCCCCTTGACATCAGGACCATCTCTGTCCTCACCCTCAGTTTTTGGCTGAGCCAGTTCCTGGAGATCAGCTTTCCAGGTCAGGCCCTGCTTCTGGCATGTTCATGGATTCTAGTTTGGGTAAAATATCCTCCTTGACATCAGGACCGTCTCTGCCCTCATCCTGTGTTCAGCTGAGGCAGGTCTTGGAGATCGGTGTCGGGGTCAGGCTTTGCTTCTGGCACTTCATTGGGCTCTAGATCTGTAAAATCTTGCCCTTGACATCAGGACCATCTGTGTCCTCACCCCAGTCTTTGGCTGAGCCTGTTTCTGCAGAACAGCTTTCGGATCAGGCCCTGCTGCTGGCATTTGAAAGCACTGTTAAGTTTGATAAACATTCCCAGATGACATCAGGACCGTCTTTCCCTCACCCCCAGTCTTTGGGTGAGCCAGTTCCTAGTGATCAGTTTCTGAGTCAGGCCCTTGAACCTCAGGTGCTCCTTCATCTTCTTTCTCGTGATCGGGTGTAATATCTTTACTCTCAGTTGGTGGCTCCTCTTCAGGTTGTTCATCACTGGGTTGCTGGGCAACTATAGGTCCAGCGGGCTTGAAAGACTCTTGATCTTCTAGTAGTACTTTCCGTATGGAATCATGATCTTACAAACTCACTCAGATATCACACAGTTGAGCCCCACACTGGCGAGAAAGCACTTTTATGTTTTTTATGATTTTTTACTGCTGTACAGCAAATCACCACAAACTTATTGGCTTAAAACAATGTAAATTTATCATCTCACGGTTTCCCTGAGTCTGGAATCCAAGTTGGGTGGATCTTTTGCTGAAGGTCACACCAAACTGAAATGAAGGTTCTGGCTGGGCCACGTTGCTTTCTGGAGCGTGGTGTCCTCTTCCAAGCTCATGTGCTGTTTTACTGAATCCAGTTCTATATAATTATAGGACATAGATTCCTGTTTTCTTGCTAGTCATCAGCTAGGAGCTCCTACCTCTTAGAGGCTTACCACCGTCCTGCCACGCGGCCCTCTTCACAGCGTAGCAGTTTACTCTTTCATGGACAGCAAGAGAGCATCTGCTGTAGTTTCGAATCTCTGACTTCTCTTGTCTGACCTCTAATCCCTTGTTTAGAAGGGCTTAACCCGAGGAGGTCAGTCCCACTCACACTCGAGGAGAACGGTTATGTACAGAGTATGTGCACCAGGAGGAGGGGCCAACTTAGGATTCTTCCTACCGCATAGTTTGTACTTTTTTGTTTCTAAGAAATTGTTGCCTACCCCAAAGTTGTGAAGATTTTTCTAATTTCTTTTAGATTTGTAGTTTCAGGTTTTCCATTTAGATCTGTGGTCCATTTGTATGTATATACATGCACATACTCATTTACTTGTTTGAGATGTAATTCACATGTCATAAAATTCACCCTTAAAAGTGTACAATCCCATGGGTTTTTTTTTTTTGTGTGTATTACAAAATGGTACAATCACTGTCACTCTCTAATTCTAGAACATTCTGATCACACACAAAAGAAACCCTGACTCTATTAAGCAGTCACTCCCCACTTCCTCTTCCCCCAACTTGGCAACCACTAATCTACTTTCTATCTCTATGGATTTGCCTATCTTGGACATTTTGTATTAATGTAATCATGTATTATGTGCACTTTTGTGTCTGGCTTTTTCACTAATCACATGTTTGTAAGGTTAATCCACGTTGTAGCATGTATCAGTACTTCATTTCTTTTTATTGCTGAATAATATGCCATTGTATAGGTATACATTTTGTTTCTCTCTTCATCAGTTGAGGGACATTGGGTTGTTTCCACTTTGAGGCCATTATGAATAGTGCTGCTATGAACATTTTCCTTTTTATTTATTTTTTTACTGAACTGTTTGAGATAAAGTACTGACATCATGGCCCTTGACCCTTAAATTCTTCAGCATGCCTGCCTCTCCCAAGTACACGGACATTCTTTTCCATAACCACAGTGAAATTTTCACAGTTAGAAAATTTATCATTGATATAATACTGTTATCTAATATACAATCCATACTCAAATTTTACTGGTTTAATTAGTGATTTTAAACATCTGAAACAATTACCAATTTTTTTTTTTTAAGATTTTATTGGGGAATCGGGGGAGGGGAACAGACAAGTTGCTGTCCTTTTGTTCTTCAGTCTAGTTGTGGAGGACGTCGCTTCATGGGCCCATGTTGGTATTATCATTGTACTCTTCCCAGGTGAGGCAGTCGCTTGCCAGCCACTGGACAGCCGTTCACGGCGGCTCACGCTGGCTGCCGGCCCGCCCCACTGCAGCCTGCACCACCGCCGGCAACTTGGCAGCCCAGCTCCAGGTCGAGCTGTTGTTCACCATCTTAGCTGTAGAGGGTGCAGCGTCACTGGCCCTCATATGTGGGATCCGAACCAGGGCCCTGTTGCTCAGAGCTGGCGTCCCAAGCCAACTCCTAACCAACATGCCACTCCGCCGGCCCCCATTTCTTTTATTGAGGTTACATTCACATAACATAAAATTAAACATTTAAGGTGAAAACTTCAATGGCATTCATAAAATGAAGTGGAAAGTGTTCCACTTTCTGTTTTCTTAAAGAGGTTGTACAAAATTGGCATTAAATTTTCTTTAAATGTTTGGCAGAATTCTCTAGTGAATCCTGGACCAGATTACCTTCTCAGGAGCCTTGTAATTATGAATTCAGTTTTTAAGTGGTTTCAGTAGTATTCGAATTATCTATTTCATCTTGGATGAGCTTTGGTAGTTTGTGGTTTGGTCCATTTCTTGTAAGTCATCCAATTTTTGAGTACAAAGTTGTTTGTATTATCCCCTTATTATCCTTTAAATGGCTTCAGGATCTGAAATGATACTCCATTTCATTCCTGATATTAATAATATACATATGTCTTCTCTCTTTTTATCTTTGTCAGTCTTTCTAGAGGTTTATCTATTTAATTGATTTTTTTTTTTATGGCTCAAGATATGGTCTTTCTTGGTGGATGTTCAATGTCACTTGAAAAAAATGTTTATTCTGCTGTTGTTGGGTGAAGTGTCCTACATATATATATGACCCTGTTGATTTTCTATTAGTTTACCAATTACTGAGAGTAGGATATTAATGCCTCCAAGTATTATTTTGGTTTGGCTATGTTGGTTTCTTTTTTCATCTCTCAGTTTTGTTTCTTATATTCAAGGCTCTGTTGTTTGGTACATACACATTTAAAATTGTTAAGTCTCCCTGCTGGATTGACCCTTTAATCATTATGTAACATTCCCCCTTTGTCTCTAGTTATTTTCTTTGCTTTGAAGTCTACTTCCATGATAGTAATATGGCCTCTCCGCTTTTTTTGTTTTAAGTAATTATTTGTATAGTATATCTTTTTCAGCCTTTTATTTTCAACCTATCTGTGTCTCTGTATTTGAAGTTAAGTTTCTTATAGACAGCATATTGTTATTCCACTTTGCCAGTGTTTTGTATTGGTCTCAGCGTAGTGATGTGATCAGCTAGGAATGCCTGGAGTATTCACCTGGGCCAAAACAACTCCTGGCAAGCCCCCACAAACATTTCCCCCACCAGAGCCAATGTTGTGACTGGGCCATACTGGCTCTTGTGGTTCTTATGATTGCAAGACACACCTCAGCAACAACCATCCCAACCTAGGTAGGATGGGAATGAGCATTCACATTTATAACACAGGTTTAAAAAGATCAAGATGACACATAAAAAATGTCACAAGACACTGACTAATTAACAATGAAAAATTAATTGTTGAATGAGGTATAGATAACATATACCGTGAAAATTAGTTCAGCTTATTGGGGAAAGCTTCACAGAAAAGGACGAATACATTGGCTTTGGATAGTCTGAAAAAAGTGAAGGAGAGTATTGTACCTTCTTGGTGTGCACCAATATGGTATTTAAGTAATAAGATCCTACTATTTTTTTTTTAATGCCATGAGATTTGCAAAGAGGAATACTAAAGTCCTTACCTTGTCGAGGAGAGACTATATATACTTATAACAAAATCAGTGAGAGGACTTGCAATAAAGTATAAGAATCAACAGGGATGCAGAGAGGCATTTTGGGAAATCAAATATAAAATCAAAAATTTTATAGGAAACTCATGCTTACGATGAGCTTGAAAGATAAATAGGATTTTTAATAAGAATAAAAGGATAACATGGTGGAAGACTCTAATGCAGCCAAACTAAAACACTGAGGCTGACCACCGGTTTTTGTGGATAAAGTTTTATTGGAACACAGCTATGTCATGTATGTATTGTCTATAATTGCCTTCATATGGCAGAGTTGAGACAAAGCATATGGTCTGCAAAGCCTAAAATATTTACTGCCTGGTCCTTTACAGAAAATTTACTGTTCCCTGCAAGTAGATAAGATGTAAGTGGGAAAGCATTATTGATAACTATTAAAAAAAAATAAAATGAGATATTTATTCTAGTTGGAGCGGACAGTCAGTAATAGGAGGATGGGTGGTTAGAGGAGGTGCGCCTTGCAGGAATACAGTAGGGAGACCGTTATTAATAGAGAAGAAGTGAGGGGTCTTTTGGGGCTGGGACAGTAGTTCAGTGATGCACAGATGTGGCTTGTCCTTAATCATGTTTTTCTAATCTTTCTCTCTCTAGCCAAGAAGGATCAGGAAGGTGGAGAAGAAAAGAAAACTGTGCAAAAGAAAAAAGTAAAAGAGTTAAAGGTGTTGGATTCAAAGACAGCCCAGAATCTCTGTGAGTAACTCTGTGATCCAAACTACTTGAAATGTGAAGTTCTTCCAAGAGCTTAATTCCGGTGGACCCAGAAACTTCTATTTGTTGTGTTCCTGCTCTATGCCAGGCATTGCATAGTGAATTTCCAGTATCTCATTTCATCCCTTCAATAACACAGCAAGATAGTTAGTATATGATTTTATGGCTAAGACTTTCAAGAATTTGCCTAGTTACACAGTAAGAGACAGGTCTAGGGTTTGAACCTCGGATGTTCTTATTTCAAAGACCTTACTGTTTCCACTGCATCCACAGAAAATCTACGTCAAATGTTCTAGCTATTTTACATTCCGTTCTTTCTCACTGTCTTTTAAGTATTTCCTTTAAATGCAGGCACTGGCTTGACTTCAGTTAAATCTAAAATAACATTGTGGTTTAGAATAAATAATGTAAATCCTGGACTTCTCAGAGTTGGATCATTAACTCCACAGAGTTCTGTTCTGAACTTGTTAAATATACTCATAACTCTGGTGGCAGAATTTCAGATCAGAATCTCCTCTGCAAAGTTGATATAGGTAGTACTTACTTGATCAGGATGGATGTTCATTTTTTGTTCATTCCAACTGTTGATCTCCCTAATATTAAAGATTTAAATATTTGCTCAACAGATATTTGAGGATCTGTCATGTTGCAGGCTCTATTAGGCACATACCAGGCTCACGTTCCAGAGATGAAAGGAGGGTATATTGTCTATAAAACCTTCTCACAGTCTTGCAGTGTGGCTGTTGTCCCCATTTTTCCAAATGAGAAAACTAAAGTTCAGCTGTTATGACTTAGCCAAGGTCACACAAGTAATGAATAAAGTCAGTGATAGAATGAGAACAGTAAGCCTTTACATTATTCTTGTCTATATAATCTTAGATCAATGACAACAAATATTATTAAATAGTGTTTGTGGGTAAGTCCTTTTATGGAGACTAATAGGTAATTCCTCTTCTCAAGATTAATCTCTGGGACCATAAAACATGAGTAATTGTGGGGGGCCGGCCGAGTGGCTCCGTTGGTTAAGAGCTCGCTCAAGAGTGCGAGCTCTGAGCAACAGGGTCACTGGTTCGATTCACGGCCTGAGCTGAGCTGCCACTGAGCTGCCAACAGGTGGCAGGATGGCTCAGCTAAAAAA